CAAGAATATGAATAGGTAACAAATAATTGTTAAAAGGAATGCACATCATTTCATTACAGATATCACAAAAATCTACACACAATCTACAACACATACATGTTTGACTAATTAGACAGATTTCATGAAGATATTACACTATTTAGTAGGCAACTGAAGATTTCTTAGGATTTTTGCATTCCTTCAAAATAGTTACATACCATTCAAATTATTACGAAAGTTGTATGTACATTGTAATTTCATAACACAGTCTTGGGTTTGTCAACTTCAGGTCTAGATCTAGTAAATAAAAGGTGCCTACATATTTTCTCTTATTCCAGAAATATATTGCCATTACGCATTATAAACCAAAAAATATATGAACTGAATTAAGATTATGTTGGCATAATTGAATTCTGTGAACTTCAAAATGCAGTATTTTCAACTATTTTTATTGAAGCTGTCAAGTACGGGAAAAGGTGGCATTGAATTAATTATGACGTCTTAATGGGTTAGCACAGGTTTAACACATTTACCAGTTATGATGTCATACAAAGTAGTTTCTACGTTAAAAGAAATGTAATGAATACTGTGTGCTAAATCAAAAGTTTATGTCTACATGTATAGTTTTTGCATTAGAATGACTGTGTATTTTACACTAGCCTATAGCTTTACAGAGCATATTTTTAGGTCTTATACTTACCCCACCCCCTTTCTTGTTTAGGAGGAAGTCGATACTGAACAAAAGCAAAAAAAAAAAAAAAAAACCACCCTACCTTTATTTTTCTATAAGCAGGAATTAAAAATAAGCTAAAAATAATCTACGATTCTACTAATTTTTAACTGTTACTTTGCCACAATACTTTTAAGTATACCTCCACCAACATTTAAAGTATGCTTTAATCATGGCGAAGTAAATTATGATATGATAGTACTTGTGTGAAGGCTTAACTTCATTTCAATATTTTATCTAGAGTCTCTTTCAGAATTATTGAAAGGTATATAGTTTTATTTATATTTTTGCTTTCATTTATTATTATTTTTGTTTTTGTTTTGATTTAACGTAATGTTCTTTTTTTTTTTTTTGGGGGGGGGGGGATAAAAATTTCCTCCTCTTTCATTATAAAATAGGATTTGCCAAACTTAAACAAACTAAAAGTTGAAATGACGGAAAATTTAATTTTTCCTATTAAAGAGTATTTAAACCTGATTTTTGCATGGTTTGATTTCTAAAAACAAGTGGAATATCATTCTTTAAGCAACACAAACACACTTTTAGCATTGAAAAACTACGTGAATCTCTTAATTATTTCATACGACTTTTTGTATTTTTCTGGTTACAGAAAATGTAAAAATTAGTTTCGCTGTAAAAAAGATATCAAAGAGTGCATATTTTGTATCACTTTAAAGGGGGTCATTTTTCAATTGGGGTCATTATTTTATAGGACTACCATATATAATGACCCCCTAGGACCCTTTTTCTACAAAAAATGATTTTTTTCTACGGGTGGGGGTCATTTTTTGTCGTTGAAAAATGACCCCCCGGTCATTATTCGATGGGGGTCATTATTCGTCTTTACACCGGAAATCTATACATAGCTCTTTCTTTTTAAAAATCTTCATTTCAGTGTAATACATGTTGCTTGTCGCGGAAAGTGTAGTGTCCTAAAACATTACGACGAATATTTCTTTCTCATTTCTAAAAAAATACCGTATATACTCGCCTATAAGTCGGTCCGCCTATAAGTCGGTTGTATTTTTTAAGTTAATTTGAAGGGATTTGCCATTGACCCGTTTATACACCCCTACTAATATTATTTGATTTAAATTCAAGACACGTGGTTTAGATTTACCTATTCAAAGGTTATAGGGTAGATCCGGTTTTATAAATAAAAATTGGCAGTAAACAGGAAATTGCTATAGTCTGTTTCTTCTAAAACATGTATTGTGAAAAATGTGTGTTTGCACACCTTTCTGAAAGACTTTCAAGATTTTCAACAGAAATGGATGGCTTAAGGGGGGGGGGGGTGGTGGTAAATAACAATTACTGCATCTTATACTTAACTGCAAAAATTACAGCTCACTAGCGACCGAGATGCCTGTAAAAAATGTATAATATCATTTACACTGACAAACCTTTGTTTGCCTTATATGGCTATTGCTATTAATGCGCACAGAGGATCTTACCACGAGCAACGCCAAATACATGTTTACATGTTACTTCGAACACGTGGTTCAGGTCAATCTATGATCATATCATTGGAGTGCAAAGTAAAAAAAAAATTTCCTATGAAACATTAGAAACTATTAATAATATCACTGGTGTTTTTAATTTGTTAATAACTGTAGAGAAAAATATGCTTAATAAAACGTATACGTAGTTCGTGTCAAGTTCAGAACACCAGCAATTCAAGGATAAGGAAAACGAGCAGCTTCTCCTATGCGTTTAAATGGACAAATTTTTTTTTACATAACTATACATGTATACTCGTGATCACGTGTGTTGGCAAGGGAATCCACCTGGCAATTGTATTCACCGATAGTACAATAAAGGAATTTATCAAGCGTAAAATTCCTGTAGTATTCGTATAGTGACCCATAATGTAATTCTCATTCATCTGATTTGTCAGTTAAAGTCACATTGGTGCCCCATTTGCTAATCTGACGCCAAAAATATAGTCCCGGTTCCCATGCAAAATATTTGTCTAAAAAGAAATTCTAATTCATAACAGCAGAAAATTGCATCATAAAAAAAACTTTAAAATAATTTAAACTTGAATGAATTCAAGAAAGATCGATTGAAGTACATTTCTACAGAATGATATTATGGGGTGGTGAAAACTAAAACACAACATAACTTTTCTGTTTACTATGTCTCCACTTGCTAGTCACTTCCTTGCCACATTTCCGTGAATAATTTACTCTATCTCGCTGAAGTCTCGCTAGCTCTCGCCAGAGCCAATGTCAGAGCTACTCTGAACTCATCGGGTTTTATAATATGCAGAACACCGACAAATAAAAGGTTCCAAACACATTAGTAGGGGTGTTATAAGTCGGTATAACTTTTTGCAAGAATCATTTGACATTTTAGATGAATGAACTTATGTTTTTAGCTGTTTTTAATGATATTTTTCGAAATAACGCCGATATTTAATTTTAAATAATTAAAGAATTGATAAATGCACAAAATAAAACCATTATAGTAAGTGAATACTTGTACTACATGATTTGTATAATCTTTGAATGCATAAACGATTATCCATTTATAGGCCTTGTTATCTTCAGCAACTGTCTGAAACATATATGGAATGCTACATTTCACACTTACAGAAAAATACCAATATCTTTAGGACTCGCCTATAAGTCGGACATACAGTTTTGGACTAAAATTTAACTCCCAAAATACCGACTTATAGGCGAGTATATACGGTAGGCGTGTCGTTATGTTATAATTGACGTTCAAAACATGACTCAGAACGTTTCGTCCAATTGGAAAATTTTAAACTTCAATGCGCTTCATTGTAAAACATTGTAAGTGATTACAAAAGATTTGACATGAGCAATTTTCAAATACAAAGTGGTTAAACCACTATCCGTTTTATTTTACACATATACCGTACTTATTTCTTTCGATTTTAAACTTTATATGGGTACAATCACTGGTCCCTAGAAAACTATCGAGATACGGGAAGTTGGGGAGAGTTACGTTCGTTCGAAAGATGTCGGTGTTTCTCTAATATGTGCTTTGCCTTTAAAGTTCATCTCAATTTTTTGTTATTGGGCCATCTGTAAACATCCTGTTACATGTAGCGCCCATGAACAAATGCGAAATTAGACTACACCATTCACTGTTTCACTTTGTAAATAATTACGTGTTTAACAGAATATTTATGGAATAAAAGTGCAAATTAAATAAGGTTTTTTCCACTGTACAATGAAGCGCATAGAAGTGGTAAAATTTTCCATTTGGATGACACGTCCTGAGTCATGTTTTGAACGTCAATTATAACAAAGTGACACGCTCATTTCTTCAGAAACGAGAAAGAAATATTCGTCGTAATGTTTTAGGACATTACACTTTCCGCACAAACTACATGAGTTACACTGAAATTAAGATTTTTAAATAAGAAAGAGACACATAGAGAGTTTCCGCTTATATGTAAAACACGCATTGAAACGCTTTTGTACATAATTATGATTTTATCGTGTTTATTGGAGTTAGCAGAGCACATGTATCAGTCGAACACGTGCTTACTCGGTGTTTATGTAGAACTTCAAGTTGATTGGTTATTCTATTTATGATATACCTGTTCTACAGGTATTCAATTGAATCATTTGATCGATTTTTCCTTTCTACAGAAATGGGTGTGTCTAAAGATAACTCAAAACGTTCCATCTAAACAGAAAATTTTACCACTTCAATGCGCTTCATTGTAATAGAAAATAAGTTTCTAACATTTAAAATAGAAACCAATGAATCAGTCTAAAAACCCAAAAAAATTGTTTTAGCATTGGCAAAATACTGAGTAATTGGTTTGGCGTTGTAGTTAACCTATTTCAACCGTAAGATCTTTGCATTTAGTAACTTAATTCAAAGATCAAAGGAACTTGATGCAAAGATTGGGAAAAAGTGAACTGATTATAAATACTCTCTCCATGCAAGGTTTTTATAATTGTCTGCTTAGTGTCTACAGCTGGTCTGGACAAGAAAACAAAATGTGACCTATGTAAGATTGTACATAGCAATGTATTACAAACAGAAATCCTAAATGTTACGTTTTTTTTTTCATTTGATTATCAGTGAATTTATTTACATATTACGTGCTTTATAAAATATAAATTAACCCAACAAAATAGGCACAAACATTCTTCTCGTGTACATAAATTGTAAACAAAAGTCTGCGTTTTTTTTTTGACGCCATCTTCAAAAAGGTGGGTTCAAATATATATGTGCAAACAAATCAACTTAAAAAATGTGGATAGTGGTTACGATTATTGCATGATAAACAGAAAACAAAGAATACCTTTTAGTCTATCCTTATCCATGTGCGTTTGTATAAAATATTGTAAATAGGCACAGGGTATATTGGTCCTTGCTAAGTAATTGTACAATCACGCCTACTTGAATTTTATATTTTTTTAGCACTCTCTAAACGGGGAAGTACAACGTAATTTATGTCACCGTGTAATTCATGGACTGGCGGCTTGTTTTTAAAATGAGTGAAAAAAGATGTTCGAACTATATGGTATTGTAATGAAAATGATTATCTTTCATATTTTTTAATGAAATGTTTCTTTGCTTTACATCATTAATATAACTACAAAGTCCAGAAATTTATTTATTTTGGGTATTATGGCATTTAAAATTTGTAAGTTACTGCAATTTATGTAATTATTCTCAGCAGGCTAAACTTGATAAATAGTGAATAGACAGATAAGTTCCTGAAAAGATAACCTCAGCTCTTTAAAAATGTTAAGAAATAATGTTGAACATAATTAATCAGCAGAAATAGTTCGAATTACGAATTTCATTGTATGTATAGAGTAATCAGTCCGGAGACCTTGGTTCAGAGTTTATCTGAAATAGATATGTTTTCAATTTCATTGTCGCCTATTCTCTATCTTCGATGTAAAATTAAAAAAAAGATGTCTAACACAATATTTAAAATACGTCAGACATTAATTACAACTACAAAGGCCCGTATCAAAAATGTCTTTACAAAAAGGTCACCAGACGTTTTTATTTAGGGAGCACAAGCACATACATGTGCTAGCATTGCTTTCTATATTCTATATACACGTGTATCGACAAAGTATTGGGGTGCCCTGTGGCAACGCACTTTAAAATAATTACGCACTTTGAAAAATTTTTCATATTGACCCCTTTTTTCTTAAGATAAATTCAATGCTTTAAGTCGTTCACTTTTAGCCCGCCCCCCCCCCCCCCTTTATATCTACCTACCGGTATTACATACAAGAATTTTTAAACAGAAACAAAATAATGATATTAAACAATTATCTTTCCATATTTTCTAAAATACCAATTTCCTTTTTATAACATTTATCAAAACCTAAAATATTTAAATATTCAATATCTCATGTCCTAAGGTGACCTCATCATAGTTATCCAACCAGGATCAATAATTTATCATACCGATTATTTGTAAGAATATTTATCAAGCTTTACATTTTTTTCAAAGAGCGTTAATATGGTCGATATTAACACACTTTGAAAAAAAATTATTTTTTCAAAGTGCGTTTAGCTTGGTCCCAAATTTAACGCACTTTGAAAAAAATTTTCAAAGTGCGTAATTTTTCAAAGTGCGTTGTGACAGTGCCCCGTGCCCTGGTTCCTACGGTCATATTTCATGTATCTATGCATATTTCTAACGCCTTTACACATGTTCAGGAATAATGAAACTTTAATGATTATTATAAAAAAAATTATAGAGCGGAATATATTAGTTATATAGTACACTTTAACTTCTAAATACTTTCCCTTATTCACTACGTTTCCCGTAGTTTGTTCCATCTTTTCTAGTTCCTCAACCAACCCTAACAAAAAAGTACTATTAGTAAACTGTAGTTAATTATATTTTACTAAAGCTAACTATAGTACCAAAGTAATAACTTTTTAACTTTGATTTACAATGGTGAAAACTTTAGAACTTTGATTTACATTTACTATGGTGAAAACTTTTGAACTTTGATTTGCTATTTAAAGTGAAAACCTCAGAAATTTGATTTATCAAAATAAAAAGTTTGAAAATGTTTGAAACTTTGATTAACTATAATAAAAACTTTGAAACTTTGATTTACTTTAGTGAAAACTTTGTAAGTTTAATTAACTATATTAAAACCTTAAAAAACTTTGATGCAATTATGTTTTATTATGATTATTTATATCCTATTATTTTTCAGGGTTAAGATTCATAAAATGTTACGAGATTTTTTTTAAGAATTTGACCATTCCTCTAAGAGAATAATGTTCATGAAATGAATATTAATGTAAAGGTTGTCTCTTGTACCGAAAAAAGAAATATTTATTTAATCTATTTCATTTTAATTTACACAGATGTAAACATAATCTTATCAGTCAAAAGAAAAAATATACTAAAAAAATAAATGCGGCATTTAGAATAAAAAAAAGAATTAGCTTCATCAACCGTAGTCAACATGTATTTTTTTTTATCTTATAAATGTAAATATTGCATTTGAATCAACTACTTTTTGTAGTTAAATTAAAAAGTATTAAAAAAAACACCATTGGGGTGTGTGTGTGTGTGGGGGGGGGGGGGGGAGTCATGATTTGAACAAACTTTAATCTACACTACCTGAGGATGCTTCTATATAAATATGATCAGTTATGGCTTTGTCATTCTTGAGAAGAAGATTTTTAAAGAATTTTCCTATATATTTCTATGTAAAACTATGGTCGGCAATTGTGGCCCAGCCCTATCCCCAGGGATCATGATCTGAACAAACTTGAATATACCTTACATCAGAATGCTTCCATATGAATATGATCAGTCATGGCTTTGCTATTCTTGAGAAGAAATTAAAGAATTTTCCTTAAAATTTCTATGTTAAATTTCTATGTTAAATTTCGGTTGGCCATTGTGGCCCTGTCCTACCTCCAGGGGTCATTATTAGAACAAATTTGAATCTACACTACCTGAAGATGTTTCCCCATAAGTTTCATCTTTCCTGGCACAGTGCTTCTTGAGAAGAAAATTTTTAAAACGTGTCACAACATTTTTACCAATTCCCAATTATCTCCCCTTGCATGAGGGAGTAACCCTTCATTTGAATAAACTTGAATCCCCTGCTTCCAAGGATGCTTTGTGGCAAGCGGTTCTTGAGAAGAAATCGAAAATGTGAAAGGTTTATAGACAGCTAGACAGACAGACGGACGCCGGACAAAATGTGATAAGAAAAATTATAGCACAAACCAAAATTTCTAAATTCAATCTGGCTTAACTCCTACCTGGTCTTTTTCTTTATTAAATTTTGATTTTTGTTCACATATATGCACACACAAATACATATAATCTGTTATATTCAAAAATGTATTACTTATCTTTTGCCAATTTATGTTTAATGCCTAGGTTAGTATTCTTTTAGGCTTTTAACTTTGTACAGTACTATTGCTAATTTTAAAACATTATCTAAAACTTAATTCTAATCGGTGTAAACAGCAATTATTTACAATATTTCAAGTTTACAATATTTCAAGCTAAATAAAAACAATGTAGCAAATCTAAATTACTTCAACCCCCCTCCCCCCTTTTTGTTCATTTGAAAACTAAATTTTATTACACATAAACAACTTCCAAATATGAATTTAATCCCCCCTTTCTCATTATAATTTATATTTAATCTCTAATTTATGTTCAAAAGTTATTGAACAAAATTACTCCCCCCCCCCCCCTTTTTTTTCTTTTTGCAATTTTCCTCACCTTCTCTTTATTTACTCTTTATATTACTTTGACATTTAACTACACGTATGGTCGGCCACCAAAAATGATTGTAGCAACACGGTGGTTTATTTATTAATTTATCATTTATTTATTTTTAGAAAATAATTAGTAGATGTCTACACGATCATACGGAGGCCTGTTCTCCTTTTGAGAACAGAGAATTGAGGCTGGAAGCACTAGGTGAAAAAAAGAAAATGTGTATTTTCTTATCACCAATACAATATACTAAATACAAACAGAAAATAATCCCCATGGTGATTCACTGGGTGTGACAGTAACTCAGACCTATGACATACTCTTAGACGGCCTTATTTATTTGTTAATTTTTCTTTTGTTTTATGCTCACAATTTCTTATCAAAATTATATATTAAAATTCAATATCATTCTCAACTCCCCTTTACTATATTAAAATTCAAGGTTAATTCAATCTCCCTGTAATTTGTTTTATTTAAAACAATCTGTTCTATACTATAATCTATATAAATAATGACTCTAATAGGGTTCTGTAAATCTCGGGGTATTGTTACGTCATGGCATAAAAAATGACGTCATATCAACAGAGAAGACACTATCAAATCGCCATGATGAAAATCAACAGAGAAGATTACATAAGAATTAAGGTAAGTTCCTTAGCTAAGACTATAAGATTAGTGTTAGATAATATTACTTAACTTATATTTTACACGAACACTTTTTTGTTTATACATTAGAAAATAGAAAAAATACATATCTACCGGAAATAGCGAGGACTGGTTTGTCGTGCTAGAATGAATGGCCAATTCATTACCGAAACAAACCTGCTTGGAGTTTGGGACTAGCACCTGATGAGAGTTCCCTCTCAAAATTACTGGCATTTTAGCCGACATCTTTTGACCTTTTGGCATCTTTTAAAATTATAATTATGCTATAGCACAAACCAAAATTTCTAAATTCAATTTGGCTTAACTCCTTCCTGGTCCTTTTCTTTATTAAATTTTGATTTTTGTTCACATATATGCACACACAAATACATATAATCTGTTATATTCAAAAATGTATTACTTATCTTTTGCCAATTTATGTTTAATGCCTAGGTTAGTATTCCTTTAGGCTTTTAACTTTGTACAGTACTATTGCTAATTTTAAAACATTATCTAAAACTTAATTCTAATCGGTGTAAACAGCAATTATTTACAATATTTCAAGTTTACAATATTTCAAGCTAAATAAAAACAATGTAGCAAATCTAAATTATTTCAACCCCCCTCCCCCCTTTTTGTTCATTTGAAAACTAAATTTTATTACACATAAACAACTTCCAAATATGAATTTAATCCCCCCTTTCTCATTATAATTTATATTTAATCTCTAATTCATGTTCAAAAGTTATTGAACAAAATTACCCCCCCCCCTTTTTGTTCCTTTTTGCAATTTTCCTCACCTCATCTTTATTTACTCTTTATATTACTTTGACATTTAACTACACGTATGGTCGGCCACCAAAAAATGATTGTAGCAACACGGTGGTTTATTTATTAATTTATCAATTATTTATTTTTAGAAAATATTTAGTAGATGT